GAGAGAAAATTTTCGGGTTTAAATTTGGGGAAAGGGTGGTTCCATATTTTTGAGCCTTCGATATGTGAGACGTTTTTGTTGCTTTTGCAGTGATAGTGAGACAATAAATGTCATCATACACTACGGTGGATCTATGAGCAAAGAAGGTGACGATTACAAGTATGTGGATTCATTGGCATGTAGGAATCTCAATTGGATATTGTCTGATTTTAGTTGGGAGAAATTAGAAAAGTTTCTTAGATCTGAGTTAGTTACAACATCGATTAGTTTGGTTTGGTACAAACCGAGAAGCACGGAGATGAAGGACTTATGCTATGTGATTGACTGTGATGATTTGAATAAATGTACAAGGCAGGAAAACCAGAAGGTGAGTTAGATTTGTTCATTGAACATGATTTTCTGAACATATACATGCTCGTGATGGATACTATCTTACAAGCGAAAGAGTGGAAGATATTAATTGTGGTGAATGATATGAATCTGCAAAAGAAAATAGAGATGAGGATTGTGGTTATGATGGTGGTACTGAATCAGATAAGGAAGACGTAGAATATAGTGATGATGAAGACGTTGACAGGCCAAGAGAAGAAGAAGAAGAAGCTGCAGAGTCTGAAGATGAAACACCAAAAGAGGATACAAGACCAAAAGAGGATAATGTGGCGGAAGAGAATGTGTGTGGTGAAGGAGGAGAGACTGCGACTAGGGGAGGAGGAGAGACTGTGACTGGGGAAGGAGGTGATCATGTGGTAGATGACGGTAGTGATGTTGTGGCTGATGCAGGAAATTGTAGTAGTGATGATAGGTTCAAGGCACTGTTTGAGGAGGGTACAAAAACAGTTCCGGAGAAGGAGCTTACATAAATCAAGAAGAGAAGACAACAGTAGAGAGGGAAGCTGAAGAAAGTGAGGAGGAATTTGGTATAGGAGAGAAAGAGTATCCAGATACTCCATTGGAATCAGATGAAGAATGGGATCAATGGGATAAGCTTACAAGACCAAAAGGTACATGTGAAGGTAAGTTTTTTGGTGACTTACAGAAGGAGCCATACCTTTGGTTATTC